AGACAAATTGATGTGCTCCAAGTTTAGTGAGAGAAACTTTCTCAAAAAATAAGGCAGAGAGCAATTGAGGAAGACACCTGATGTCCATGTCTAACCTCCATACACAAACATGTACATATTCATATGAGAGAGAGAGGGAGAGAGAGAGAGAAAAACAGCATTGGAGGCAGGGTGAGAAGATCAGGCATACTGGAGCCTTTATTTCATAAGCAACTGAATGTCTGGGTTCCTCCTGAGAGGGCAAGAAGGTTGCTTAGGAAGATTCAGTACCTGAAAAGAAGGGACAGGGAGGAGCAGCTGACAGATGAGAGCAAATATGAATTTTTTTTCTGGTGCATTTTCTTTGATTTCAGCAGCAACTATGTAAGGCAATCACTTCATTGATGCGAAAACTGAGGCTTAGAGAAACTGACTCTATTCTAATTAATTTCTTTTACTTTTTGTGTTCTCTTTGAGAAGATTAATTGCAACATTTCATGTGCAAAGGTAGAAAACAAGCTTAGATCTACTACTGCTGGCTATAATTATCTAAAATGATCAATAAAAGCAGAAGAAAAGGTACATAAGGAAATGACAGTGATCTTGGTCTTTGAATGCTGGAATACACCTCTTTATCTTAATTCTTCATGCTTTCCATAGAACACCATTGCTTTTATATCTGCATCAGTGTCAATTCCAAAAGGCATGTGTTACTTTAGAAAGGAAAGCTATTTTTGTTTCTTGAGGTATCAAGAGTCTTCTTAGTAGAATAAAGGGGTTTTCAGTATTTTATATAAACAACAACTGGTATTTTAAAGACTGGATTAGTCAAATAAACCCATAATGAAAAATTTGCCACAGACTCTGGGAGCTTCTTTAGGACTGGGTCACACAGTTTTGCTACCAGTTATCCTGTGAGAAAAGAAAAGAGTTGTTAAGCTCACTGAAAATAAATTGGTAGCCTGGTCTGTAAAATATCTCTGCAGTCATGGCAAGCAAATGTTTGGATTGAATGTATGTATTGATAGCATAGAGTTTTATCAAAAGGCTTTCTGTGGTTCCAATTTTTTTTTTAATTTTATCAATTGCATAGAAATATATAGTCAATGATAGTGATGCCCTTTCCACATAAGGCTGAACACAGGAATTGGGTGTTCTGAGACATCTTTTGCTTTGTGTAGGTAGAGCTGATATGTAAGAAACATCACCATTTAAATCGTGTCTCTTCAAAATCAAAAAACCAACAGCAAAGCAAAAGCCTTAATTAGATAAACTCTTTACACAATTTCTAACCACCAAATGGACTAACATATTTCACTTAATTACCCCAACTTAAGCTGGTTTGCTAAAACATAATTGAATCTTTTAGTAATAGAAAAAAATTCTGGTCTAGATTTTCTGCATTGGGGATACAAATTAAAAACAAGCAAATAAAAACATCACATTTGTCTTTTACAGCCTTAATTAGATAAACTCTTTACACAATTTCTAACCACCAAATGGACTAACATATTTCACTTAATTACCCCAACTTAAGCTGGTTTGCTAAAACATAATTGAATCTTTTAGTAATAGAAAAAAATTCTGGTCTAGATTTTCTGCATTGGGGATACAAATTAAAAACAAGCAAATAAAAACATCACATTTGTCTTTTACAAACAAATAATCTTTTTTATTTCCTTCAAGAAATGTAATTCTTTAAGCTATGTACATTTGATTTTAATAACTTGGCTAGAAAACCTGGCCTAGATAAGTATTTATTAAAATGTAAATTAAACTTGCCTAAAAGAAAAATATTCAGAGAGAAATATTAAAATAAAACTCATTGGGTTATAAGAGGTGAAGATTTGAACCTTATGAAGAATTAAAGAAAGAAGTATTTTAGAAATGGATAAAGCCAAATCATACATCACTAATTCTGGACCAGACTGGTCTCGCTTCTCAGCTGTCATCCCTGGGGCTGCAACAGTCCATCCATACGTAGAGCCCTGGTGCTCTGTTGAATGGATCTCTCCTCATCATTTGCCTCATATAGCCACATTGCACATTCATCCTCATCTGAAATGTCTATCTGCATGCACCTTACTTTAAATTCTTTTGATAGAGGATCTTAATACCTTATGCTGTATCACTACCAACAGCTCTCATGGGTGACTTTCTGTCACCCATCTCTCAATCTTCAACTCTTCCTTATCCATGGCTGTCAGTTTCTCATCCCCAAACACCCAACATTGCTGTCACATGTTTGCCACTCACATTCTTTGTTCCCTTCCCCTTAAGTTCAAACTCCCAATTATCCACCTGATATTTGGGATCCTCTACAATGCTTCTCTCTCTTTCTCTGTCTCTCGCCCCCTTTCCTCCTCCTCTTTTCTGACATACAATGCTTATATATATTTGTACACATTTATATTAATCCAATCTTCCTTTTTACTACTACTACCTTAAACATATCATTTATTTAAGTCAACCAAATCAGTCTTTTCTGTAAAAGGCCCCCTGCCTACTTCTTATCCCTTTTCTAAACCTGTAGCATAATCATCCCAGTCACCATGTCTTGAGATTTATGAATGAGGCGACATTGCTCTTGACTTCTACTTTTCAGATAACCCTTATCCTTCTAGAGTCTTCTCAGGCACAACCAAGTCTACAAAGTCTTTGATGATCCCTCAAGACCATAATTTCCCTTCTTTTCTTCCAAACATCCATCCTATCTATAATCTGGATTAGTTAATCACACATTATTTAAATGAGTTTCCATTAATTTATGAGTTGCCCCACATTTCTCAATGAGGGGGTTACAGGTATCAGTAACTCGGTTGTTCTTTACTGTGTAGAACTGGCTGGCACATTAGAGGACATTTAGTGTCCCTTACCCCTGGATGCTTACAGTGACATTTTTGCAACAATCCCAGATGTTCTGAATACACCCCCAAATGCCCAAAGTTCCTTAGAGAAGTTTCTATAACATACAAACCTATTCAACAAATAGTCTTTGACAAATTGGTAAGTACATGTATTTAAGAATAAGTCTATTTCTCTTACAGTTGCCAATCCAAAACAAACAAACAAACAAACAAAAAAACAAACAAAAAAGCTAAGAAGGAACTCAACTAGCACTGAGGTGAAAAGTCACTGTTCTGCTTCAGATGTCTTCCACAGGACTTACCCTGGACCCTCACACTGTTTCTGGGTGTTTCTGTTCATCTCATTTTATAGATGAGGAATCTAAGGCTTATGAAGCTCTAACTATCCAAGGACATACAACTGATTGGAACCCTGGTATTTAGGCCCAGAGTTGTTTAGAGCCAAGTCTTTGCCCTTTCCTTTGATATCATAGTTGTATAAAGAGCTTATCTGTAACAGCTTTGAAAAGAGTATGAACATGTAACATAATTAGCAATTTAAAGTGCATTATTAATGCTGATAGGTGCTAATGAACGTAATTGAATGAGAGGACAGTTGACCTGACAAACAGGCTTAATATTTTTAGGCTTTATTTTTTCAGAATTTGTAACAAGAATATAAATGGGAGTCTAAGGACTGACCTGATTCACTGACCTACCTTGCTGTAGATATTAACCCATATTTGGCCTCTAATTGAGATGTACATAGTCTTTATTATCTCACTGTATGTGTAAATGTTTATCCTGTCAGATGGCCACAGTATCTCTTTCCATTTCCATTAATCATGCCTTGGGAAATGGCCAAGTGTACTGGTATTAGGTGGCATTGCTCCCTTCCCCAAATCATACAAATCTAAGAGCTGGCAGTAGCTCCTCAGGTTCTCTCCTTTATCTTTGTAGTAAATGCATATGAATCAAGCGTCATATGCCATTCAACATGCTGCTTCTGCTTCTTTCTAGCTACAGTTACTTCTTCATTGCAAACATCTACACTTTAGTAGTTTATTTCAGTATGTGCCGGTGTACCTGTGTATATTTATTCATATAATAGGTAACCTATGCTTCAGAGAGTAATAGTGTAGGTGACCCATATATATATACTTTGAAGAGTGTATTCGGTTTTCTTTCTATGTACACAGAATTCCTGGCAGAAAACAAAATAAAGAAAATTCAAGTCATTTGAATGAAACAGTATTGTTGATTTCATGATTTCTTTTCATTATGAGAAAAAATGTTTACCATGTATTTATTATATTCAAAAAAGGAGAAAAAGAGCTGAAAGCTAGGGTCATATGTAGCTTAGAATAGTTGTGCAGATACAAATTAGTGAGTGTATGATATAAAACTGTCTTATTTTTTCATTGTTTAACAAATAAGGTACTTTATTCACTAATCAAACCACCACTCCAATGTAATTGTGTGGGCATTTAGGTTATCTGGAAGCATAAAAGAGTTTTCAGTTTTGATTAGCTACAAAACCACACATTAAAATTGCTTATAGCTAGTGTCTAATGTTGGCTCTTTTATGAAAGCTTTTTTTTTTCAGAGGAAAATGCATTTTCAACTTTTGCATGCTATGACAACTGGTAGGGTGCCAAGGAAAAGGATGAGAGATTTTTTTCCCCCACTAAACCCAATCAAGCAAGTCTGATTCCCCCTCTGCTATGATCTCAGTGGTAACTATAGAAGAGCAAGGAAAGTTTCATTAGTTTGACTCATCTATTCTCAAATTCTCTTGATAATTGTGCAGTAAAATTCTTGAAAGGTAATTCTTTGTCATGCAGAAATAGTCTAAATGTTCTGGTAACATTTCCAGAGAGGCACAGATGTTTTATTTATATGAACACTTTTGGGGTTCTGCTTACAGTTCCTTATATCTTAATAGCACCTGAACTGGGTACCTGCTAAGGTGCTATCAAATCTTCCCATTTTATTTTTAGCTCTCCAGTTGCTCCAGAGATGGGTTTAATATGTAAGACAGAAGCTTACCCTGAGAGATATTTGCATGACTGTATTTTGAGTTTGCCATCAGCTAAGTAGGGCAAAGCTGATCCCATCTCACAACAAACTCTATTCTACATTTCCCTCTTGACTTGGGGGTTCAGTTTTTCTTACCTGTTTCCTTGAAGATACTGTGCTGTTGAAACATCTATTGGAAGCATTTAAAGTCAAATTCTTGTTCTGATGGGTTGAGTCATTTTTCCACATCTTAGAGTTTTCTTTAGGGTCTGAAGGAATGGGATTTAGGAAGAGGATTCTAGCTATGAATCCATAGAGCACGGTGGCCAGGATCATTGGCACAACATAAAAAACACCGAAGTCCATTAGGTAAATAGGTGAGTAGTAATTCCTAGAGATCTTGTAGCCACAGGATACCACAGTAGCATCTCTGTAGGTGCTTATGTTGAGATCCAGCAGGAAGAACCAGAGCATACAGTAAATGGATGTGAAAGCCCAGACAAAGATGATGATCTTTTTGGCTCTGGAAAATGTGCAGAGAAACTGGGCTTTGATTGGGTGACAGATTGCTATGTACCTCTCAATGGTAAAGGCTGTTATTGAACAAGAGGATGCATTGATTCCTAAGTACTGAAGGTAAGTAATGCAGAGGCATCCAACATAGCCATAGACCCAGGAGCCATAGATGCTGTCAGTTATATTGGGGAGGCCTGCAGCCACTAGGACCATGAGATCCGCCACTGCCAGACTCACCAGGTAGCAGTTTGTGGGGGTCCTCATGTGCTTGGTTCTCATAACCACCAGGACAACCATGATGTTGCCCACGATGCCCAGTCCACAAATAATGAGCACAAGTAGGATGGTGACCACCTGGTACTCAAGGGCCACCACTGCTCGTGGCTGAAGCTGGGTTTGGTTCAGTTCGCTGACTGTTTCATTCTCCATCTTTAGGAGCTTGAAGTGTCTCTGACACACTGGCTCTTTAAAACATCTTCTTTCCAGCCCTCAACTTTTATTGCTGTAGTTCTGTCCCCTGTGAAAGGTTATGAACATATTCAAGTCACACAGGTAGCTGTCATTTTCTCTCTCTTTGCCTCAAGTTTCTACAGTAATGGGGCTCCTATGTACTTCTCAAAACTTCTTTTATTGCAACTCTGGTGTAGAATGGAGTCACTGCTTTGACCTCTTCACATTAAGAGGGACTAGTTCCCTCTTCACAGAGAAAAATGCTTAAGAACAGAGTAGCAGAAACACTGTTTTGAAACAGTGTCCAACTGAAAACAAAACAAAAAAACATTCCCAAACTGAGCAATACCTGCTAGTGTTGTTCAAGTATTGAACAATACACATAAAGAAACCTCTCACATGCCCAGGGAAAGTATAATGAAGAAAAAGGTGCTCATGGAAAAAGCCAAGAGGTCAGTGGTCAAGACAGGTAGGAATTTAGCTGTTGCCTCAGCCCTCAGGGGTGAAATCGCCTTGGTATACAGTAGCAAGCCTTGGCACCTATTCTTCCCCTTGCCCCCAGCTCCCAGAGAGAACAGTTTCTTCTCTTACCTTTTCCTCTGCCACGCTGCCTGCTTTTCTGGGTAGATGAAGTGGTAGTAGGTCCAAGTTCCCAATCCTGCAGAAAATCTGTCTGTTTGACAGGGAGACCACCTGCCAGCCGCTCAGTCTGCAGAGCTGCAGTTCTCCTCAGCCCTCACAGCCCTTTTCAACTCATGACAGACCATCCAGCGCAGCAGCAGCAGGAGCAGCAGCGAGACTGTCAAATCACAGATCGTACCCTAATGAGAGCACGCATGCTCTCTCTCTCTCATGCTATACACACTCACATTCACGAGTGCCAGTCAGTCCTGACTGATTCATAATCTTTTCCTGTTGAAGGATTTAATTTTAAATGTGTAGCTGGTGCAGTGCTCAGTGTGGAGTGTGAAAATCACAGATAAGGGATCTGGAAGCAGCTTTTTCCTCTCATACGGTGTTTCAGTTAAGACGGTCTAAGTTCTGCAGAAACTCCCATACCTGTGCTGGCCTGGAATATGTTTTTACTTCTTGCCTAACTATTTTAGGGGGTAGCAAAACCTTCCAAGTCTAGACACAGCCCTTGAAGCCTGAAATATGTGTCTACCCTGAAATCAACTTCTTTCTCTACTGTGAAAACCCTTAGACTGTTTCTCCAGTGAACCAGTAAAACCAGCTCCTTTCTCTCATGTGGATGAAAAAATGAATTAAAATAAATTTCAAACCATTTCAACTGTGATCTTCTGAGTTTTTTAAAATTATTATTTCATGAAAATGATCTCAGGACTCCCTGGGGTGGTGTACACGTGAAAGCTCAGCACTCAGGGGGCAGGAGGACTGTGAGTTTGCAAACTTATTTCCAAAAAATAAAAATAAAAAGTGAAAAAAAGAAAAGCAAGATGACCTAAACTAAGATCATTGGTCGAAACTTATAGATCTCTGTGGCTCTCTATTTGCTATCAGCGCCTTTGCCCTCAGTGCTACCTCTTGAACAGCAACCACAGAAGGCACCCCACAAAGGTCTGTCTTCATGTGTTTCTAAGGAATTATGTAGCAGAATTTTAACCCACTGCTACTTTGGGACCAGGTGTCTGAGATGAAATTTGTCTCGGACCCATTACCTTTTTTTAGAAAACTACACTCTAGCTTGATTTTTATTTCTCTAAAGCTGCCTATGGCAGATCTGTACTTCCTTATGAAGCTCAGGAAACGGCTCTCTTCTGTGAACACCAACTGAATGCACCAAAGGTTAATGTTTGTACACTTTTATCTTATCCACTGACAATGAAAAAAGCCTTTTGCTAAATTCCCAACATAGTGCCCATTCTCTATTTAAAAAACTTCAGACTCTCTTCCATCTAGAAGGCTATACTATTCAAGTAGACAGGACCACCAGGGTTTCAAAAGTATGTCCAAAGCTGGGTAACAATGAGATCCAGGCAAAGCTCAGCTTTGTAGTGAATGACTTCTACCCACTGACCCTTGTTAGAACCCTTGAGTACCCAGGTCTCCTCAAAAATCACCTGTAATTACAAATTAATGACACAGAAGTTACATTCAGACTTCAGGTGTCAGTTGTTTGGACTACATGGGGCAGGCCCAAGTGTGTTTAAAATAATTAGATTATTTTTACCTTTCAAAATTGAGAAACTGAATATTAATCAAGATTTTTTTTCTCATAAAAATTCAAAAGCTCTGGCCCTCATGGGCCCACAGTCCTACACTGATGTTATATGAGGACAAGCAGTGACTAAGGGAGAGGTCAGACTCCTTGATGTAGGATGCAATTTCTCGTTTCTTCATGCCACACTAACTCCTGCCCATCTTTCACACATGTCAGCTTTTTACTGTCATTATCCATGTGTGGTCTTTGTCAGTGTTTGAGTTTTGACCTCTGTATTAACCCCAAGTTCTGAGAGACACAATGCAGGGAACCAGCCAAGCGTAAGTTCTTTTGTCCTAAGTAGATATTTTGCCTGAATTTTAGTTTGTATTTTTAACTAGTTTAACAAACAGAATGAGGGATACCCTACAGCTCTCCTCCGAACTACAGGGCACAGGCTGCTCTAAATAGCGTGTTTGCTGCTTGTTATTCAGCACGGAAATGCTTTGTAAGAGGGAGGCATTGCTCCTACTCCACTGTGACCCAGTACCTCAAATCTATATGTTACTTCATAAAGCTCACCTTCTCATTCTCCCAGGGACTTTAAGCCCTCCTAGGTGTATGGGGTGACTACTGTGCTGCATGTCTTTACCACAGAGTGAGCATTTACAACCTGCATTCCCTAGTTACAGTTCTAGCTCTGTGTCAAGCCTTTTATATTGACATTCTTTGGCGTTTCTGTTCTGAATCAACGCTCTGTATCCCTGTTCATTCTTTCAACAGATAATGCTCAGGTTCTTATTATGTGCTGGACAGCTAGTAAACAGAATAGCCCTTTTAATTATATTTATGTATTTATTTATTATTTATTTATTATCTTTTTGACAGTGTCTCCCTAGCCTTAGCCAGCTTGGAACTCACTTAATAGACCAGAGATGGGCCTGCCTCTGCCTTCCAGGTGCTGGGATGAAAGGTGTGTGCCACCACACCCAGTGTTAGAATACCACTTTTTATCTTCAAGTAGGTTATGGCTATTGGAAGAAGATGACTTATAAACAGTTTCAGTGGGCTGTACATTGAAAACAGACATTCTGTGGGTTTATTTATGAAGTGGAGACACATGAATGGTAGTGCAGTAGACAGCGAGACCAAGTTGGGCTCTCCCAGACAAGGTAACACCAAAACACCATCTTGAAAAAAAGCACAGTTCTTTTGAGAGGACAAGTGATGGCACTGTGACTAGAGGCAGTGGCATATCCAAGGCTTAGCTGTACCAAATGGCATGGGTTTTATGGGTCTGGAAAAGTTTTACCACCCCCTTGGCCAAGAGGAGTTGAGTTCTGCTGAGACAGCCACGGGTGACTACTAGGCAAGGTGTTTCATGAGGGTTCTCCCTTTTTCTGTGACTTGCACTGTTCTCGAGTCTTCCTTCACCCCCTTAATTTGTTCTTTACGTGCTGGAAAAGGCACACGCCTGACTTCACCCTCCCAGGTTTCTCAGCTTTTCACAGTTCTACATGCTTTCCATCAGCTTCATGCTCTGTACAACATTACAGTTTTTAATTACTTGTGGCTTTGTAAGGTAGGATTGGTTTATAAACTGCAATCAACTAATATCGAACACATGTCCCTTATTTGCAACAAATAACCTTAAACTAGAGTGAATAACAATACACACATTTGTATTAACTTTTTAAAATAATAGTATCTTAAATTCTAACCATCTGTGGCCTTTAGATTTTTTGAGTTCTTCTGACTAGAGATAATTGAAGACATTTGCTTTGAAAACAGTAGGTGAGTCACAGGACAGTGTCTACAGATGGCAGATAGACATCTCAAGTCCATGCTCTGTTGCCTTCTGCCTTTAGGCAGGTCTTTTCACTCACTTGTGACAACTTTTCTTGAGACAAGAGAAATGTGTCACAACTCACAAGGTGCCTTGTAAGATTGTCCTGGCTGGGACTTGTTTATTTATTTTCTGATCTAGCCTCAGACTTTCTCTTTGAACTTGGGAAAAGTTCTAGAACAACCCCTCCCCCAACCCCATCCCATTCCCAGATAGATGACTTGCTCATGTATCTGGTTTCCCTTTTCTAGTTACCACAAGAAACTTCCCATCCATATGACCAAAACTTCTGCCATAAGACACGTATGATGGTGTGCTGTCACAAGTTCTGGGCTAAACTGCTCTCCATAGGAGCAATTCAGAAGAGGTTTATCCCTACGTCTGGGAGGAGGTTTGTTGTCTACAGGGTAGGTGGCTCTTCACTGGTCATCACAAATCCACTACTATGTAACAGTTTATACTACCCACATTTCTCATACTTTGTGTTAATCTCTAAGTCACCTGGAGAGTCTCTATGTCTATACCATTCTGAAAACATCTCATCTAATCTGAATCACCTGGAGAGCTCATCATATCTCAGCTCCTCAGGATCTAAATACCATCAAATCACAGTGTACGAAAATCACAATTTAATTTTAAAAATGTTACAGGTAACTTGGCAATATTCAGAGAGATGATAGGCTCAGAGACAGAAACTAATGGTGAAATAGTATAAAATGAAGGGTTTGTGGGTTAGGAATTGCTGAATGTGGCGTGGTCTATCAAATTCAGTCTCAGACACTTCTGCTCAGGGGTGGATTTCACTGCAGACCCTGGAGTAGGAGAGAAGGTATTTAGAAAACTTCATAGAGAAAATGTCAAAATAAACAACTTGACTGACTAGACCTTAACATATATGACAGAATGCATGAAATCCAGCAGGGAGGCAATGGGGAGTGTTCTAAATATGATGGAGGGAGAGCATCTAAATATGATCAAGATTTATTGTATGAAATGCACAAAATTTTAATTACAAAAGGCGACCCTAAAAAAAGATAGCGAATAGTGTATTTTCTGGTGTCACAAATCTCCCCCAACTTTGTACTCCTTATTTAATATGTAATTGTTTATTTTCCCAAATTGACCCAAGAAAAATATTTGTTTCTTATGATAGTACACTTAATGAAAATGAATAAGAATTTGTGGCAAAAACCAACAGCACCAAAAAAGAAAATGCCAAAATACATTTTTGATGAAATTTGTATATTAGCCAAAGAAAATTGCTGCCTTTTGACCAACAAATGAAAATACTTTATGTAATGGATTATGAAGTTGTATTTTTGCTTAATGGAAAAGATATGACATCTTGTTTACTTTGAAAGGTAAAATATACAGACATATTATCTCATTTAGGCACAAGCTACTTTTCATATATTTGTGTCATATATTTTCATATTGTTTGATTCATGCTTATGGGAAAAAATGGGACCTTAGACTTAAACAAAAATATTTGAACCTGGGAATGTATCAACACACACACAAAACTTCTTTTCCTTATAATACATACTATTCTTATCTGGTCACATAACAGCATGTTCCTGAAGGGTTAACATGATTTGGAGAAATTTCTCCAAAGTGTTACTTGGGGATATGACCTCAGAAAAGATTAAAGAATAGACTTTTAATCAAACTGTCTAGATAGACTGTGAGCTCACATTTACTTTGATTTATTGCATGTTTTATTAAACACTAAACTTATTTTCAAAAATTCATATAATTTGAAAAGTGTACTATAACGAAACTAGGGTAAAATTGTTGTGGATCATGTTAGTCTTTACAT